GACCCAAGGAGTCCCGTGCACACATTTACATACCACTGGACTGTAGATCGACTCAGACGTATGCCTGTTGCTAAATACAATCTCACATAATGCATTAGCAATGCTAACATTAGACCTTGAGGTGTCTTTCTGAGCAGATCTTGGTGTGTACGCCTGCGCTTGCTCATTCATTCATCGGCTTGGGAGGGACTATTTGTGTGTTGACACTTTTGTTTGCTCACCGGCTACATTTGTCTACGCTTCAAATAAACAAATCGCCGGCTTCATCGTGTACTTAGTTACTTACTTAAACGAACCGAAACGCCGACTCGATCCGAATATGGCATAGTACATTGTCGCAGGTAAATGCTCCTTCTGGCACCGCGTAAAATCCCAAGTCATAGTGATTAGATGCATTTTATCCCGCGTCCCANGGTAAAGGGAAAGTATTTGTACAGATTAGTTGAGCCATGTGTGGATAGATTGTGGCGTGGAGGGACGGAACGAATGAGATAGGGGGAGGGAGATGTTATGCAATAGAATTCGTTCAAACTGTGCTCCTTGTTCATAGTTTTTTGGAGAAGTGAGAATTTGTCCGGTGATACAGGCGCGCAAATCAGTGAATATATGACAGTGTGTGAGTATCAATTTCTGTGCATAAGAATTCCGGCGGATTATGGACCGCAAACAGCTGTTGCTGTTGCTGCTGCCTTAGGTTTCTTTGCTCGTTGTGACGAGTTGCGCGCGGATCGCATGTGACCGTTTGGTGAACTGATCTGACCTGTAGAAGAACAGTACAAAAGTAGAATGGGCATAAGTGTGAGTTGTTGTTTTATTTAATAAAGTTGAGAGTAAACTTCTCCTGTTTTTCATTTGGTATGTATAGATCAGTTCCAGGGAATCACAAACTGCTGAGAAAATGGGAGCGGCAGTGAAGGTGTTTCTAACTCCGACTACCCATCCTCCGATAAGGAACGTTCTAACCGGGGATAAACCAATGTATATAATCTCTTTACCCAAAGATGCACATGAGTGGAATGTGATGACCTGGTTTCACATCGCGAACAGCGGTCGATTTGGCCCGAGTAGACTCCTGATCGGTTTTGCATTGTACCATCTCACCGTTTACACATCCGAACACCTTCCAGACAGAACCGGTTAAACGAGCTTGATCCCCGGTTACCTCATGCACGCAATCGTGTAAGTTCGTCTGAACACACACATATAGTGGGTCACATCTATAATACCTGTTCCGACTGTATCATGTATGTGACTGTCTGTCTAAGGTCACACACTTATGACCGGATTGCAAAGGTCCATGATGACCTCGGCAGAGCGATGGTGATGTAGAGATGCACGAGCTAGCGAGACAAAAGGGCAACGGATGAGGACAAGTCAAGGAAACCATTTTCGCACGGATTTGTCCTACAAGAGTAGTTTCTGTTTGTTTGTTTGGTTAGAGAAACAGAAATTTTGGCTGAACAAACTGACCTGAACGTGGACATAGTTTGGATCGGTTCGACACGCATACGGCATTGGCCATAATTGTTGTGAATCGCACACACACAATATGGGGTGTGTGCGCGCGCTCGCCCTTGTGACCTGAGGTCATTTGTTCTCGGTGGAACGCTAAACGTGCCCAATCCTCCCTCCGTTCACTGTTCCCGTGTTGTCAGTCCGCTCTTCAGGCTTGCAGCATGAATGTACGTGAACGAGACGGGACACGGCCACAGGCAAAGGATAAGGGGCTATCATTATGACACTCGCGTATACTGACCGCAGCGCGCGTTATTCCCAGTGGCTGTTGCAGGCTGGAAAAAGCCGCGTGGAGACGAGGCATGAAGAAATGCACAGAGCGATTAGGTAGAGTCTCTCGTCTTCCTTGTTGGGATTCAAAAGACTCCAAAACCGCATGGTAGGAGACACTGAAGGTCATGACTGCGAACCGACAGCAATGGCGATGTTGCTGTCACTTTTTATCAGCCCAGAATGCTTGAAATAGTGTGTATGCACAGTTAGACTGTACTCTGTGTTGAACATAGAGGTTCACTTTCTTTTCCCGTCCCCAAAAGTAGGTCCAATCCCTCCTTAAACATTCTCACTTACCTTGTATGCATTATGATTTTGGCAGCGATCAGCTTCACTATATTACGCTGTACAATGATGATCATGTTATGGTTATACAAATTAAGGTCATCTCAATGAGAAATTATCGAGAAAATCGTGGCTATGTGTGAGTATCTATGGGCCTCAACAGGAAGAGATGACCTATCTTAACTATATAGTTGAATAACTCGACGGAGGGTATTTCATCAGCCTTGGTGTTGCGAATCTGATACATTCGTAGCTAATCACTTCCCTTCGAGACGAAGTTAAACTACCTACCACCACTAAGGAGTTCAGCCTATCCCCACTGGAATCGAAGTGCTCAATAACATCATAAAAACACCAAAATGAGGTGCCATGATCCTACACACACATGTGAAGGGGTAAGCTGAACGGTCAAATAGCAGTATCCTTTTGGTGTTCAATTTCTTTGTTAGACAGCAGACATGAAATATTAAATATTATTTGGGATCATTGTCTGTGGGATACTGGCAGTTAGTGGATGAGTGAGTGATAGTGGCAGGATTCCGATTTTTGATGTACGCTCTAATCGCCTAAACTGCTACTCGAAACGCATTCTCACGGATAATTCTATTGAATTTAGTTACATTGAAGTAGGAGGCAACTCCGTTCGTTTGCCAGGTAATACAGTGGGAAGATGCTGTACTATTTGAGTTGGACTAAGGGATACAAGTGTGGCACGTTGATGGTTACGAATAAACAACGAATGCCAAACATTTTGACGACATAAATTGATAAAAAACTAGAAGGGACCGTGGAAACAGCGGTCAGGCAGTTCACTCCGCTGCTGTTGACATGTCACCGAATGCACAATTCGAGACTCGAACCTTAAAACGGGAAATGGCAAACTTTACCTATTGTTTGGTGTTGTCACTATCTTCCGGCCCAGCGCTACTCTTATCTCGCTGCCGTGCATCATTTCACCAACTAGGACTGACGTTTTCTCTTTCCACAACCGAACAGCAATGCGCTCTTATTATGTGTGATCTACCCCTTCAATTGTTTATCACATTACAGGGTGTGTATTAAAAACACTCTTAGACGGAATGAAAGACCGCTTCTATTGTAGCACCGACTCATAGAAATTTACCAACAACATATATGAAAAATGCCCGTCTTCAATATGTGCGTCATGTGACCGACAGCAATATGCGACAAACAATCGATGCTGGACAAATTTAAATTCATAAAGAAAAATGGAATGAACGGTATATAAACCGTTAGTATCCGGGGCACGAGAGAAATTACATTGAAAACGCATTCGAAATACCGCGTTCTCATAGAAGAAAAAAACTGGTACTATTGATAAAAAAATTGAAGATTCTGTTTGATTACATTTTAGCCGGGGAAAAATCCACTCAAGTTGTTATTTCGTATTTAACAAATAATCAACATGTTCCCGTTGGTGAATAGAAAACAATCGTGAGCGACAGTTGAACGAAATGTTGCATACCATGGCTCAAAACATGCGATTACTTACTCAAAAAAGGGAACGAATCATTTTTATGGCTTCATCATCTACCTACTGAAAATAGTGAATGATGTAAGCTAGGAACTTTGGTTTTTGTTGTTGCTGTAGTGATAAACCATAATTGTTATTTTTAAAAAGAATAGGCTGGCAAAACAAATGAAAGAGTTGTTCAACTTAGTGAACTTCTGTCCAATGAGTCAAACTGGTCAGAGGAACAGAATTATCACTAAGCCTGAAACCAAAAATTGAATGCTGAAGAATATAGTTTTCGGTTAAACGCCTCATCCTCGATAAAATCTTTTGAGTTAGCTCTAGGGCGATCTTGCCACAGAATTGCGACACATGTCCAGAAAGAATGCCAATATGTCAGCAAAAATTCTTTCAATTTTGTGAATTTAGGTTCCAAGAACTAATTTTTCCGAAATACGTCGCAATCTTGTTGGTAGCTAGTGTTATGTGGACGTAAGGCTAAGTTTCATCTGTTTACCGTAAGCTGTAAACGTTCATCGAAAAGTCACTTTAGTCGAACCTAAATAGGTGACTGATTAGGCTGTGATGTAATGATGCTCCGCTTATGTATGGCTTACGTGTGGGTGTGTGTGTCTCAAATTGATTGGCGAACAACTTGTACTCGTCACTCATGGGTTGGTCGGGCTAAAAATATCCTGGAAAACCACTGGTCGCCGTTCAAATTAGGCATGCTCACCAAACCGTTTAACTTTTCTTGCCGTATTGGAAATGCCACACAACTTCCATACTCAGTGGCTTGACCAATGAGCAAAATATAGAGGCCACTTGGGACAACCTAGTTGTTGGTAATAAATAATCCGTACACTCATGTTCAGTCGTTCCAGTTCAGCAAATCAGGCCGAAATCTGGTTTTACAAGCAATCCAGAAATGGAAGAAGTCGAGCAACCTTGCAATCTGCTTCTGCTTACGTTCAAAACCAACAAATATCCTACAAGTAACTCCCAGTTGCTTGTGAGTAGCCATCCGGGCTCAGTGTTATCGATTTGACTGACCATCCCGGTGAGTCTAGGATCGACCGAGAATTGAACGTCTAGTTTGAAGAATGAGCAGCCAGATCAATAGCCAATACGGATTGTCTGAAAATTCACACACGAAGTTCACCCATTCAGTCAGCGGATCGGACGCGTTCCGCATACAATTGTGTGGCGGACAGACTGAGGCAAGAAGATCAAATTGTAGTCATATCAAAGTAGTGTGTACATGTGAAGTAAGACACACAGATACGCGACCCCATTTCAGTCGAGAATCCGTTCTCCTATGCTATCATGGCTACCAGAATTCAAACAGATCGTCAAGTGGGTGCAGGGATAGACATTCGGCTCCTCTTGCNCTCTTGCGCGGTTTGTAGACTTGGTTGAATGACAATCAGCCATGATAATTCAAGGACTTTGAGAGTAATCCCAAACGAACCATCGTCATTCTCGTGCAGGACTTAAACATAGTTGCACAAGTGTCACAGACGAGAGAGGGTGACGGCTCATGTGGGTGTTAGCATTTCTTTTATCAAATCCTGCCATCTTGTTGTAATTTTGGTCACTCCGACCAAATAGCAGTGCAATCGCAACCGCAGTCAATACAGCGGATTCGTACTGTAGTGGACGCGATTACCTGAATGAACTTGTTAGGTCGTTGGGTGAGTCAGAGATGGAGCGAGCTCGGTGATGCGGACGTGTATCCGCTGTTGACTTGATCACAACTCGCGTCATTTACCTCGATCTGTCTGTCTGTCCGTCACACACCGCTCCCGATCGGCTAATTGAGTGGGTGAATTGGGGGGGGGGGNTACAGTGTATTCCAAAATACGAAATAAGTCTATTGCTGTCCGGAGAACATATATTAGGCGAACATATGTGCTCGGTGATCTCATTTTATTCAAGGCAGAAAAAAGGGGAGGGAGAACCGTCTGGATTAATTTGTGATAAAACAAGGGGAGTGGGTGATAATGAGGTCTAACAGCAATCGAGTTGCCTTGTGGAAGTGAGGGGGGATTCGATTATGTATTGAACAGCTTGTAAATTTCGTTAAATTTCTTTAACTGAACAGCTCTGTACGGTTGATTGGCTGATTGTGATGCACTAAAATATTTTCTTTCTGATCAAATTGAGTTTCTTTATATTTATCACCCTTATTAATGCTTTAGGTATGGGCAATAATTTATCTCTTGTCTACTTCGACCTACGTGGTTTCTAGGCTGCATGATTGTCAGTTAAACAGGCCTGATCTTGGTTGCCAAGATAAAATAATCTCAATAAGAAAATCGCAAACCTTTTCAAGTATGAAAACGCAATATATCCTAATAGGAGTTACTCAAGAATTATCCCAAATTATTTCCATAAACCCTTGCCATCTCCGTTATTTGTTATGACGCATTATTTTATCTAGTATATAATCCACTGTAGCAACTCTAGTGAATAACCAAATGAAATTCTTTCACAATCCGAAGAAATTGCATTAAATAAGGTTTCATAATAATAATAATCTATGTTTGATAGCTAACTCATTGAATTCGAGAAATACCATTTTAATCAAAGTCAACCTTGAAATCAAGGTCATTTTTGTGCACAGCTTTGAATGTCGTATTGTTGTCACCATAATGAAGCAAGCAGAGCTCGAAACAAAAAGCTCTCGTTATCTCATTGAAGAGGACAGAAATAGAATAAGTCAAAACGTCATCAATGCGAAACCAACGCGAATGAGGACTGCAGTTTGGTCATCGCCTATCTACCAGAACTCAAATTGTTGCCACGAACTTTGATCATCATCATCCCCGTTGTCATTTATTCAAATTCGACTTTTAGTGACAGGAACTAGGTGGTTTTTAGTGTGCACCTAAATGCGACATTGATGAAGTTGCCCAGAGTAACTGGAACAATAGTCCGCCGATTCCGCTGAGTATCTCCGAACCTTTAATGTCGATCATATGGGATTTGAGAGCGAATCATTTAGAAATTTGAGTAGCCCATACATGAAATGAGCAACGAAATCCTCGAGAAAATGTTGGAATGGAGATAAAAAATAGCAATGCAAACAAATTGACAGCCATTTTCCCGACGGGGTTTAAAACGTACCAATCGATCCGGTCGAACCATGTATACGTCCCACCGTCCCATGACAGCGGCGTCCCGGACCGGTACTATCTGTGCACAAGGCACACCCGCTTGTGTCTTTCAATGAGATGAGCCTAGACGGAACCAAACCGGAACAGTCGCTTGCAGAGTCCGGATGAGACAAAGACGAAAGGTCACTGGCACCGAATCGCATGCTCTCGTATCCGCTACTAGCTGCTCCACCGGTCACACTACGTCGACCAGATCGATAGACTGAGGCGAGAAGTAGTCCACCGGTGTTTTGGTTGTTGCTGTTGTTCATATTGCTGTTGCTGTGATTGTTGTAACTAATGTTGTGCGAGACGCGTGGAAAACGGACGAAACATAAATGGGGTGATTAAGAAGAAACAGACAGTGTGAAAAACAGCAGTCAATGGACACTGAAAAACGATGATCTATGGTATGTGCCGAAGGTCAACCAACTATTCAGTTCCTCTGAACAATGCACAGGAAAAGATAAACGCTTTCCCTACTGTGTGTTTCATCTATTTGCACATCAATGATTACGTGAACGAAAGGACCACCCGCTCCGGTTTGATTTCCTATGCAAAATCCCCTATTATGCTTCACGCTTGAGTAGTATTAGATTGATACA